AGAGAATCATTGATTGGCTGCCTCCTGCACGTCCCCTACTGGGGATCAAGCCCGCAACCTGGGCATGTGCCATGACCAGGAATCAAACCGTGACCTCCTGGTTCATAGGTCGATGCTCAACCACTGAGCCACACTGGCCGGGCTTTCCATGTACTTTTTAACTGAGTATCCGCTCTTATCTCTTCCTTCCACCCTCTGGCCTGCTGTAATTTAATTTAGGACACCTAAGAATTTTCTCCTTGTCACTTGGATGGTGGCTACCAGCACACTTTCACCATGGAATGTGAACTTGGGTGAAATGTGGGCCTCCAATGAGGGTGGGGATTAAAAAAACCTCATTGACAAAGGGAAAGCAGGATGGTATGTACCCAAGAATAGGTGTTTTTTAAATAACAAGGTCCACACTTTCACAGGATATTTTAAAGGAGCACTTATGCCCAAACACTTACCAAAAAAAAAGAAAAGTATTTTTCTTAGAACTGATAGGGTGAGGCCAAAATTGAGAAAGAAGTGTTTGGCATGCCCTAGCAGGTTTGGCTCAGTGGATAGAGCATCAGCCTGTGGACTGAAGGGTCCCGGGTTCGATTCTGACCAAGGGCACATGCCTGGGTTGCAGGCTCAATCCCCAGTAAGGGGCGTGAAGCCAATCAATGATTGTCTCTTATCATTGATGTTTCTTTCTCACTCTTCCTCTCTGAAATCAATAAAGAAATATATTTTTAAAGAGTTCGGCCTAATAAATTCACTCTTATTCTGACCTTTTCTGTGCCCCCTCCCCCTTCAGAATCACTGAAACCTCCAATGTGGCCCCTAAGCTTGACCCTGTTGAACAAACTCAAAAAGTCTGGAGGCTTTGCTAGAAATAAATAATATGATTTATTTAAGGGTATTAGGGTTTACAAACTGGAAACACTGCTAGGAAACAGCCAGTCTTCCGAAACAGAAGAAAAATGAAAAGCTAAGTGTCTTATAGTAAAAGGTACATTCTTGAGAAGAATCAGTCCTGTGTTCTTAGCCTCTGGATTAGTCCAAGACGGTAATGCTCTAGATGACCAGTGGTTTGGATACATGAAAATCCGTTTCTTAATCCTTCAGGGGTTAATCAGAGGGTTATCTGGAGGTTTGATATATATACAGGCATTGACACAGGACTGAAAAGTTCATAGCTTTAATTTCTCAGCCTACTTAAGACAAGAATAGAATAGTTTCCTCATACCTTAACCTACTTGATATTAGTAATTAGCAGCTTGATTATAGTGACTCCATTTTATTTTTTACTTCATTCCTACTTTCCCCTCTTTGATTAGGATTTTTCTCTCAGAAACCATCATAGATCAAACAAAACATTTTAAAGCCCCTCGATGCCAAGGTGACAATGCCTTTCTTGGGTCCATTATGTTCCTTGTAGGGGGGATTTGGGCAAGAGACATGCTTGCCATATATGAGTTTATATTCAGCTCAATATTTGTGCCAGTTTTTATGTTGAAACCTTAGGATAGGTCCAACCAGGACATTATTATTACACTAGAGGCCCAGTGCATAAAATTCATGCACAGGTAGGGTCCCTAGCAGCTGCAGGCTATCAGCTGGGGCCTTCCTTCATTCTGCACCACCCCCTGGTGGTCAGCACACATTATAGCAAGTGATCAAACTCCCGGTCAGTTGAACTCCTGAGGGGACACTTTGCATATTAGGCTTTTATATATATAGATATAAGTTTAAAACCAGTCTCAGTCTTGAAAACAGTTCAGTTAAACAGTTGTCTCATTTCAGGAGGCGATGATGCAGGTGGTTCCCAAAGATAGGCCTAATGGACAAGCCATCTGGTATTTACTAAGAGGCATCCCTATGGAGACAAAATGATAAACAATGGTTATTCATCGATGCAGAGTATAGTCCCAGTTTCTCATTCCTGAAGGCTGCCAGTCAAAACAATTTCTAGATGGTTGAAGAATCTTTAGGTGGAGTAAAGGGGGGGTGGTGGTGGGAGTGACAGTCTGATAGATTGTAATATAAATGTCTCTGGTGATTTTTTCTGCAACTGGCATTGAGATTGTCCATGTATGAAGTGTTATGATTACTCTGAAGTTTATATTAAGTTGCTTCACTTTAACTGCATGGCTCTTGGAAAAGGGCCGTTTTAATTCTCAATGATTGCAATTCAGAAGGGTGGGAGAGAAATTGGAAATGTTTGGAGAGTCAGGCAGATGTTATAGGAAACAAGAATAATTCTGGTCCAGTCCAATTTGCAGAAAGGAAAATAAAAACCTCCAAATATAATGAACAGCACTAGAATCTAATATCCAAAAACGTGTAGTACTGAAACATGATTTTTCAAAAGTCCCACTCATTTTTACAAAAGATAGCCAAATTAAGAGTAAGGTGTTTCCAAAATATGTCTATTTTTTAAAAAGTTTCTGCTATTTTTATAGATGCAGCAAAATTAGTCATTATAGGCTTTAAAAAATCTTTGCCGGAATTTTTCTTTTTAAAAAAATATATTTTTATTGATTTCAGAGAGGAAGGGAAAGGGAGAGAATCACTGACTGGCTGCTTCTTGCAGGCCCCCTACTGGTTGAATTGAGCCTGCAACCCGGGCATGTGCCCTTGACCAGAATCAAACCTGGGACCCTTTCAGTCCACAGGCCGGCGCCCTATACACTCAGCCAAACTGGCTAGGGCTGGAATTTTTCATAAGGTATCTTCAGATTGAATTTTAATTTTATTTTAGTTAATCTTCACCTGAGGATATTTTCCCATTGATTTTTAGAGAGAGTGGAAGGGATGGGGAGAGACAGAGAGAGAAAAATTGATGTGAGAGAGACACTGATTGGTTGCCTCCCACACATCCCCTGACCAGGGCCAGGGAGCCTGCAACTGAGGTATGTGCCCTTGACTAGAATCAAACCTGGGATCCTTCAGTCCACAAGCCAACACACTATCTCCTGAGCCAAATCATCTAGGGCCAATTATCCTTGATATTTTTACTAGAAGGAGTTGAAAACTTATATCCACACAAAGCCCTGCACATGGATGTTTACAGCACTTTTTCATAATTGCCAAAACTTAGATGAAACTAAAATGTCTTTCAGCAGGTGAATGGGAAAATAAATCCAGTGGTCGGCAAACTCATTAGTCAACAGAGCCAAATATCAACAGTACTTCTTCAAAATAGACTCGCTCAGGCTGAAAACAGACTTCTGTGCATGGGCCACGAAGTTTCAATCGCACTGTACGCGCGCCCCCATGTGGTATTTTGTGGAAGAGCCACACTCAAGGGGCCAAAGAGCCACATGTGGCTCGCGAGCCGCAGTTTGCCGACCATGGGTATAGTCAGACAATGGAATGTTACACAGTACTAAAAAATGAGCTATCAAGATATGAAAAGACATGGAGGAACCTTAAATGTATATTACTAAGCAAAAGAAACCAATCTGAATGGGTTACATACTGTATAATTCCAAGTATAAAACATTCCAGAAAAGGTAAAACTATGGAGATAGTAAAAAGATCAGTGGCTTCCAGGGGTTGGGAGGAGAGGAATGAATAGGCAGAGCATAGAGAATTTTCAAGGACGTGAAATACTCTATATGATATTATAATTATGAATAAGTCATTATATTCTGTTGTTACCCATAGAATATATTACATCAAGAGTGAACAATACTAGTAATGTAACTATGGACTTTGGGTGATTACCTGTCAATTTAGGCTCATTCATTGTGACATCATTTGTGTTACTCTAGAAGGCAATATTGATTATAGAGTAGGCTATGCATGTGTACAGGCAGGGGGAAGATGAGAACACTCTGTAACTTCCTCTCAATTTTGCTGTGAACTTAAAACTGCTCATTAAAAAGTCAACAAAATTAGTATTATCAATAGTGAATGGGACAGCCTGCCACTCAATACATGCTTCCGCTTCCTCCTCGCTTTCTCTGCCATTGTGGTGCATGCGGTTGATTCTCCTTCACCACATCTTCTCGTGAGACTTTTGGGATCAAGAGGTTCCTGGTCAAGAAACAAAAGCAGAATCGGCCCGTTCCCCAGTAGATTAGGATGAAAACTGGTAATGAATTCGGGTACAACTATAAGAGGAGACATCGGAGAAGAATCAAACTGGGTCTATAAGGAATCCCACATGAGAGACAGCTCACATATTTATGCGGTATTCAAGTTGCCTGCACCTTTAAATGACTGAAAAGATCACTACTGTCTGGACAGTTGGGCACTTTCATTGGAAAATTATTGGAAGCATGATCTTTCTCCCTGCAATAGTAGGTTGGTTCAGTAATAAATGTGAGACCTTTTAAAAATAAAAAGACTCCTACTACCGCTACTGCTACTACTACTACTATTAATGATGATGATGATGATGATGAAGAATGGGACAGAATGGCATTTTGTGCCTTCTTACGCAATGCAACAGCAAGGACCACAGCATCACCTATGCAGTCTTCTTGCTGAAAATGCTTAAATTGATTACAGGAAAACAGACAAATTCAGACTGTGGAACATAGGCAGCACAATCATCTGGATTCATCAGAAATGCCAATGTTATAAAAAATGAAAAGAAAAAGATAGTAAGCTTCTATACTAGATTAAAAGAAACTAAAAGGGGTATGACAACTAAATACAGCGCATGCTGCTTGACTGAATCCTGGATCAAAATAAAAAACAAAGGAAATTGTTAGGACCATTGGGGAACTTTGATATAAACAGTATATTGGATAACAGTGTTGAATTAATGTCCAATTTCTCTGAGTGTGACAATAGTAATGCCCCTGTTCTTAGGAGATACACACTTAAGTGTTTAGAGCTGAAGTGCCATGATATCTGCAAGTTACTTCCAAATGGTTAAGCAAAAACAAAGTGAGGGTGTGTATATACTTATAAAGAGAGATATGTAGCAAAATAAACAATTGATGGATCAACCCAAAGAATGTCTGAAAAGTTAAAATTTTATTTAAAACAACTGGTGAAGAAAAATGTTTGGGGATATAAAGCTCATGTTTTCTGCTAATTATAGATCCTGCTGTTAACTTCAGAAATAAGTCAATGCAGTCACTTTTGTTGGCAGAAAATTTTCTGAAAAATAAAAGAAAAATGTGAGTAAGTAAAAGAATGGAAAAGGAAATACCACCCAAACAAAGGAAAACAAGAGACTTTAAATGCAAAAAGGAAGATAGGTCACTAAAAATAATAAAAGATGTATCTATTTCAGACTTTTATGCATATAATTCCAAAGACTCAAATATATAAAAGAAAAATTTACAGAATTACAAGAATCTGACAAACTCACAATCACAGTGGGAATTTAAAGCAAAATAGAGAAAGACTCATAGGTAGAGAGCAGGATGACAGCTATAAAGGGAGCATCAGTTGGGGGGCTGGGGGGGGACAGGTGGAAGGATTGAATAAGAAAGAAAAAAACTCATGGACACAGACAACAGCGTGGTGATTGCCAGGGTGAGAGGGAGGGGAGGAGGAGGGTGGTAAAGGAGGGTATGATGGGATAAATGGTGATTGATGGAAACCTGACTTAGGGTGTACACACAATACAGTATACAGATGATGTGTTGTAGAATTGTGCACCTGAAAACTGTCTAATTTTGTTAACCAGGGTCACCCCGCTAAATTCGCTAGAGAGAAAAAAATAACTTTCTCCATAATTGATAGATTTAGCAACTAATAATATTCATGGTGATATAGAAGAATTATAAGTTTAATGGACATTTATAGAACCCTACATGCAATAATTAGAATATACAAAATCTTTTCAGCCTCACATGAAACATTTAAAAATGGATCATGTTCTCTATAACATAGAACAAAACTCAACAAATACTAGATTATCAGTATTATATAGACCATAATGTCTGTACTATGTTTAATTGGAAAAGAATAACAAAATGTTAAGCTAAGAAAGATTCATGCACCCATGTTTTGATTTCTAAGTACCATTTCCCCTTAGAAGGTATCAGAGTCCCACAGAGAAATGGTTAATGAAGCAGGAAATACAAGATAGGCCTGAAAGTAAGGAAGTTAATATATTGATATTAGGGACATGTCAAAAAGACAGGGAAGCCAATTTGGCTACCATGGATAAATCTAGGAAATGAATAATAAATAATGATAAAAATAGGACAATCATGAAATAAAGTAAAAATTATGTTTCCAAACTAATATAAATAAATAAAAAAACAAATATATGGACAAAAAATCTCTTCCTTGAAATAGAATACTAACTAATAAATGCAGTAAACATGATGGAGTTTGAAAATTACCATTTTGCAGTCATCACAGTAAAAACTGAGTCAGTCAAGAATTGTCAGAGGCTGTCAAATCAGTGGATTTTAGTTTGTCGAGAAACAGGATATTTACCCAGTTTCAAAGTATCGCCAGCAAAACCATTAACTGCAAAGAGAAAAATGATAACTTTATGGTGATTGAATCTAGCAAGCATGATCTTAACCAAGTAATCAAGGTTAACATTATTTCTAAGGGGTCAAACCAGTATCATGTGCCACTGATATGATGCCCTGAGAACAATACAACATTACTTCTCTGGTTTTCCTGCCAAAATGCAAAAACAAAATACAATAATGAGAAAATGACACACAAACTTCAATGGAGAGGCATAATAATTTTCCTGTATTTTAAAAAATTGTCAATGTCATAAAAGACAAAGATAGGTTGTACTATTCCAGGTTAGGGAAAACTGAAGAGACATGAAAACTAAATGCAATGGATAATCCTAAATGAAAACTTTACTAAGAAAATAGCTATAAAAGACATTAGTGGGACAATTGGTCAAATTGGAATATGGCCTAGATCTGTGGTCAGCAAACTGCGGCTCGAGAGCCACATGCGGCTCTTTGGCCCCGTGAGTGTGGCTCTTCCTAAGCCTTACGAGTACCCTAATTAAGTTAATAACAATGTACCTACCTATATAGTTTAAGTTTAAAAAATTTGGCTCTCAAAAGAAATTTCAATCGTTGTACTGTTGATATTTGGCTCTGTTGACTAATGAGTTTGCTGACCACTGGCCTAGATCATAATAGTGGAACACAAATTTCCAACTATATTACAAAGATATAGTAGTCAAAACAGTGTGGTATTGGAGGCAGGTCCAAGATGAAGCAGAAGAGGACTTTGAACCTGTCCCTCCCACAAACACTTAGATGTAGAGCAATTCTTCCTGACAACTGAAGGTTGACTGAACAGTTTCTGCACATCAAACTAGAAAGAGAAACTGCATGGAGAAGGATGGGGAACCACAACAGCTCTCTGGGATCTGTGGGACCTCTCCGGAATTGAAGGTGGTGGTGAGCACCATTGTTAACCTTCCCCTTCCACCTAAATAGTGCAGATTGGACCTCTATCCAGGTGCTTCCACAGACCTGCAAAGCTGCTGCAGGACTTTCCCAGCATATTCTCAATCTGGCCTAGGATACCCAGGGTGCCACTGCACGTACCCATAGTGGGATGACTCACCCAGAGCCTGCTCCAGCCCTGAAAGCCAGACCAAGAAGGGGTCACCACATGCACATGCGTACTGGGCTGCCTTGCCCAGAGGCTGTACCTGCCTCAGACAGCTGAGGCACTGTTGCATGTGCACACACTGAGCACACCACCTGGAGCCCACTTCAGCAAGGACAGCTCTACTAACAGGGAGTCACTGCAAGTGCAAGTGCACTGGGCCACCCTGCACCAAGCGTGCGGTGGCCCCAGCCAAGCAGGGTACCAGGTGCTGCTTGTGGCCAATATGACTCTAAATGGCCTGCCAAAACCACCTTGTACACACAGTTTAATACAAGAACCACTTTTTCAAGATGGGAAGAGAAAGCTACTCAAGCTAAGTAAACATAAGCAAAATGAAACTTTGTAGAATTGAAAAGCTTCTGCACAGTGAAGGAAACTATCAACGAAACAAAAAGACAACCTACTGAATGGGAGAAGATATGCACAAATGATATACCCAATAAGGGGTTGATATCCAAAATATATTAGGAACACATACAACTCAATTACAAAAAAGGTAAACAACCCAGTCAAAAAAATGGGCAAAGAACATGAAAAGACATTTCCGCAGAGAACACATATAGATGGCCAACAGATATAAGATGCTCAATATCACTAATCATCAGGGAAATGTAAATCAAAACCACAAAAAGATATTACCTCACCCATGTCAGAATGGATATATATATATATATATATAATGGATATATATATATATACCCAAACAACTGTTATGATCAGTCGACCGAACTACCAGTCGACCATTTGCTATGACGTGCACTGACCACCAGGGAGCAGATGCTCAACGCAGGAGCTGCCCCCTGGTGGTCAGTGCACTCCCACAGCCAACCTCCCGTGGCTGGCCAACCTCCTGCAGTCCCTCCCCTCAGCTGGCCAGCGGGCCCTGATCGGCCTCAATCGGGCCTGGTGAGATGGCCCCAATTGGCCCCCAATTGCTGGCCAGGCCAGGGAACCCCACCCATGCATGAATTCATGCACCAAGCCTCTAGTGATCAATAAATCAACAAACAACAAGTGCTGGCAAGGATGAGGAGAAAAGGGGATAGACGTGCACTGTTGGTGGAATTGTAAATTGGTGTAGCCTCTATTAAAAAAAGTATGGAGTTTCCTCAAAAAAATTAAAAATAGAACTAGCATATGACCCAGCAATTCTACTTCTGGGAATCCATCTATCAGAAAATGAAAACAGCAATGTGAACAGATATATGCACCTTCATGTTCATTATAGCATTATTTACAACTGGAGGCCCGGTGCACAAAAATTTGTGCACTCGGGGGTCCCTCAGCCCAGCCTGTGCCCTCTCGCAGTCTGGGACCCCTCGGGGGATGTCCACCTGCTGGCTTAGGCCTGCTCCCCGGGGGATTGTGCCTAAGCTGGCAGTGATACATCCCTTGGGGGATGTCCACTTGCCAGCGGGCCTAAGCTGCAGTTGAACATCCACAGAGCTGCTGAGAAGGCAGGAGAGGCTCCCACCATCGCCGCTGTGATGCTGTCAGCCTGGCTGTGGCTGAGCAGAGCTCCCCCTGTGGGAGTGCACTGACTGCCAGGGGGCAGCTCCTGCATTGAGCATCTGCCCCCTGGTGGTCAGTGTGTGTCATAGTGACCAGTCATTCCCAGTCGTTCTGCTGTTAGGGTCAATTTGCACATTACCGCCCTAACGGGTTTGGCTCAGTGGATAGAGCGTCGGCCTGCGGACTGAAGGTCCCAGGTTCGATTCCCGTCAAGGGCATGTACTCTGGCTGTGTACACATCCCCAGTAGGGGGTGTGCAGGAGGCAGCTGATT